AGCAAAGGGGGTTTTTAGAGTGGGTAGGGATTTTTAGATCAAGTGTTTACTTGAAGCAAAAATAGTGAACAGTATTTAGATAAAGGTAGGGAAGTTTTTTTTGCATTTATGGATTTAGAAAAGGGATAGATTTGATTTGGGTAGAGGAAACAATGTGGGAGATGTTTTCAAGTATATGAATAGGTTGGGAAGTTTTAAATTCTGAAAAAGTTTTTTTTGAAGTAAAAGGGGCTCAGGTTAGGGTGTGTAGAAAAAAGGGAACTATTTTTCCCCGGGAAAAGTAGGTTTTTAGAAAAGGGGTGTGTGATGTCACCATGTTGTTTTAAAATATTTATAGATGGGGTTGTTTAAAGGGAAATAAACAAGGGGGTTTTGGGGGAGGGGTGGGGTTAAATTTTGGGGGAAACAAATTCAATGGGAATTGACCCCAGTTACTTTTTTCGGGGATACTTGCTTTGGGGGATTCAAAAAAAAAATTGCAAAAGGTTTTTGGATGAGTTTGGGAAAAGTGTGTAAAGGTAGAAAGTTGAAAGTGAACAAAGAAAAGAGTAAGGTGATAGGGTGTCCAAAAGATTTAGATAAAAAAAATTGGTATCAAATTGGGGGAGGGGGTATGGAAGAAGTGAAGTTTTCCCGAAACTTGGGAGTTGATTTTCCGGGGGGGATGATTTAATTTAAAGGGAAAAGGGTTTAAACATAGAATTGATGAGGGGAAAAAAAGGGGAGTGGTGCTTTAGGTATTATGTGGGGTCAAAAAAAAGTTTTCTTTTGGAGGCAAAGAAGGGAATTATGAAATATAGCATAAACCCAAAACTCTTTTATGGGGGGTTTAAGCTTGGGGGGTAAATGGGAGCACGAGGAGAAAGGGTTTTGGGGGCAGTGGAGATGACCTGTTTAAGGCAATTTTGTGGTGTTTAAAAATTATGCAGTAAATTCGGAGTGTGGGAAAATTTGGAGAAGGGGTGGAGTTTAATAAAGTATTAGTCCCAAAGGGGAGGGAAAAGGGGGTTTTTGAGGTGGTTTTTGGGCCTTTAGAGAGAAGGATCAAAAATAGAATGACATGGAAAGCATATAAAACTATAGGGGGAAAGGGAAAGGGGGGGTAAGGGGTCGTCCTCGGGAAGGGGTTTGGGGAAAGGGGGGAAAAGGGAAATTTTTTGGGTAAGGGCTTGGACTTTTCCCGGGAACGGCGTGAGCCCGGGGTTAAATAGGGGGAATGGAGACGAATGGTACTTGGGGCCTGACATCTTTGGAGTTGACGGGTAATAAAAAATTTTTGTGAAGGGTTCCCGGGAAAAAACCGGGTTTTTTTCCTATATCGGACTTGAGTCCTGGAAATGGGGAAATACAATGCCTGCACTTTAAAGGAGGGGGTTTTGGGGTATTGGCAAATTTTTTAGGGATTGTTGGTTTTCTTTAAAAGTGTTGCTTCTAAAACTGTTGTATTCTGAGCACCTCTGCAAAAACAGTGATAATGTGCAAGTGTGGTGAAAGTGTTGAATGATGATGAAAGTATTTTCTTTTTGGGGATTTTCTTTCTTTTTTGGGTCACCCTGCCTCGGTGGGAGACGGCCGACTTGTTGAAAAAAAAAAAAAAAAAAAAAAAATGTAAAAGAAGAAAATTAAAAGTGAATATAGGAAAGAGTAAGGTTATGAGGATAACAAAAAGATTAGGTGACGAGAGACTGGATATCAGATTGGAGGGAGAGAGTATGGAGGAGGTGAATGTGATTCAGATATTTAGGAGTGGACGTGTCAGCAGATGGGTCTATGAAGAATGAGGTGAATCGCAGAATTGATGAGGGGAAAAGGGTGAGTGGTGCACTTAGGAGTCTGTGGAGACAAAGAACTTTGTCCGTGGAAGCAAAGAGGGGAATGTATGAGAGTATAGTTGTACCAACACTCTTATATGGGTGTGAAGCATGGGTGATGAATGTTGCAATGAGGAGAAGGCTGGAGGCAGTGGAGATGTCATGTCTGAGGGGAATGTGTGGTTTGAATATAATGCAGAGAATTTGTAGTTTGGAAATTAGCAGAAGGTGTGGGATTACCAAAACTATTATCCAGAGGGCTGAGGAGGGGTTGTTGAGGTGGTTCGGACATGTAGAGAGAATGGAACAAAACAGTATGACTTTGAGAGTATATAAATCTGTAGTGGAGGGAAGACAGGGTAGGGGTTGGCCTAGGAAGGGTTGGAGGGAGGGGGTAAAGGAGGTTTTGTGTGCGAGGGGCTTGGACTTCCAGCAAGCGTGCATGAGCGTATTTGATAGGAGTGAATGGAGACAAATGGTTTTTAATACTTGATGTGCTGTTGGAGTGTGAGCAAAGTAACGATTCAGGGAAACCGGCAGGCTGGACTTGAGTTCTGGAGATGGGAAGTACAGTGTCTACACACTGAAGGAGGAGTGTTAATGTTGCAGTTTTTATAACTGTAGTGTAAAGCACCCCTCTGGCAAGACAGTGATGGAGTGAATGATGATGAAAGTTTTTCTTTTTCGGGCCACCCTGCCATGGTGGGAATCGGCCAATGTGTTAATAAAAAATAAAAAATACTCCTCTAGACAACATTACTAGTAAAGATCTTAAATTTTATTTTACTGTTTTGTGTTCATTCAGTTGGGATCCTTATTAATACTGAAGAGGGCTATAGAGTAGCCTGGATAACTGAAATAGAATATCATCCAACCTCTTGTTATGAAACCAGAAACAGACCAGCAGCTAGAAGGGGACCAATTAGTTAACCCTACAGCTTGCTCTGGAGATGTCTGTTTTAGAAGACGCTTTTTGTAACACATGTACAGTTCCTTTATATAAAGTAAAGGGGGACAAAAGAGATTGTAAAAATTAAAGGGCATAAAAATTAAGTGGGAATAAGTTTACTGAGTTTCTTTCTCTGTAAGCAATACGTGTTGTAAGAGGCGATTACAATGGCAGAAGCAAGGGGCTAGTAACCCCTTTTCTTGTATATATTACTAAATGGAAGTGGAACAGAATTCTTCCTCCGTAAGCCATGCGTGTCGTAAGAGGCAACTGAAATGCCGGGAGCAAGGGGCTGGTAACCCCTTCTCCTGTATATATTACTAAATTTGAAAGGAGAAACTTTTGTTTTTCCTTTTGGGCCACCCCACCTCGGTGGGATACGGCCGGTGTGTTGAAAGAAAGAAAGATTACTAAAATTAAAAGAAGAAATTTTCTTTTTTCCTTTTGGTGGCCCAAAAGAAAAAAGAAAAATTTCTCAGTGGGATATAGCCAGTTTGTTGAAAGAAGTACTAGTTTACTGAGTATACCAGGTAAAGTGTATGGTACGGTTATTATTGAAAGAATTAGAGGTAAGACAGAGAGCAGGATTGCAGATGAACAAGGTGGTTTAGTATGGGAAGGGGATGTGTAGATTAAGTGTTTACATTGAAGTATATATGTGAACAGTATTTAGGGAAGTTTTTATTGCATAATATGGATTTGGAAAAGGCATATGATAGGGTGGATAGGGAAGCAATGTGGCAGATGTTGCAAGTGTATGGAACAGGTAGTAAGTTACTAAATGCTGTAAAGAGTTTTTATGAGGATAGTGAGGCTCAGATTAGGGTGTGTAGGAGCGAGGGAGATTACTTCCCAGTAAAAGTAGGTCTTAGACAGGAATGTGTAATGTCACCATGGTTGTTTAATGTATTTATAGATGGGGTTGTAAATGCTAGGGTGTTAATGGGAGTTGACACAGTTACTTTTTGCTGATGATACTGTGCTTTTGGGAGATTCTAAAGAATAGTTGCAAAGGTTAGTGGACGAGTTTGGGAGGGTGTGTAAAGGTAGAAACTTGAAAGTCAACATGGATAAGAGTAAGGTGATGAGGGTATCAAATTATTTAGATAGATAAATTGGATATCACATTGAGGGGAGGGAGTATGGAAGAAGTGAATGTGTTCAGATATTTGGGAGTTGACTTGTTAGCAGATGGGTTTATGAAGGACGAGGTTAACCACAGAAATGATGAAGGAAGAAAGGTGAGTGGTGCTTTGAGGTATCTGTGGAGACAAAAAAAAGTTATCCATGGAGGCAAAGAAGGGAATGTGTGAGAGTATAATGGTACCAACACTCTTATATGGGTGTGAAGCATGGGTTGTAAATGCTGCAGCAAGGAAGGGCTGGAGGCAGTGAAGATGTCGTGTCTAAGGGCAATGTGTGGTGTAAATATTATGCAAAGAATTCATAGTGTGGAAATTAGGAGGTGTGGAGTTACTAAAAGTATTAGCCAGGGGGCTAAACATGGGTTGTTGAGGTGGTTTGGTCATTTAGAGAGAATGGAACAAAGTAGAAAGACTTGGAGAGCATATAAATCTGTAGAAGGAAGGTGGCGTAGGGGTCATCCTAGGAAAGGCTGGAGGGATGGTGGGTACAGGAGGGTTTGTGGGCGAGGGGCTTGGACTTCCAGCAAGCATGCATGAGCATGTTAGAAAGGAGTGAATGGAGACAAATGGTTTTTGGGACTTGACGAGCTGTTGGAGTGTGAGCAGGGTAGTATTTTGTGAAGAGATTCAGGGAAACTGGTTAGCAGGACTCGAGTCCTAGAGGCAGAAAGCACAATGCCTGTATGTTAAAGGAGGGGTTTTGGATATTGGCTGTTTGGAGTGACATCTAAACTGTCATATGAGTGCCTCTGCAAAGACAGTGATAATGTATAAGAGATGGTGAAAGTGTTGAATGATGATAAAAGTTTTTTCTTTCTTTTTGGGTCACCCTGCCTCGGTGGGAAACAACCAACGTGTTAAAAAAAATTGAATTCAGTTTTTAATACTCAACACAAAACTTCTGAAAAGAGGTACTGTACATGTGCAGTTAACAGAGGTACTTAAGAAAGAAGGAAAGCAAGTAAACAAAAATGCAGCAATACAATAGCTTTTTGACTGAATGACAAAGAAGCACAAAACAAAAAATGCAGTTCTAATATAGGTAAGCACAAGGTATCATGCTTGAATGAACAATATGGGAATGTAGAGGAGCTACATCATGTTTCTAGGTCAACAGATAAAAATGCACACTTTTACAAGAACAAAAATTCTCCGCACCTCTCTCTGAAGCTGTGTTACAGGAACACCAGTGATGAGAGAAATTTGCTGAAGCGGGTACAGGAGATGAAGGCAATTGTTAACATGTGGAAGAAGACCTTGAGCAACCACAGAGCACATTCGTTGAAAAGCAGCCTCTTCTCGGGCTGTGAACCCAGAACTTTCCAATCTATGGAGTTCCAGTAAAGCAGCAATAACCTGGAAAAAATACATAAACGGTGGTGCATTGAGGCATTTGTGAAAACAAAGAACGGAATGTGTGAGAGTATAGTGGTACCAACACTCTTATATGGGTGTGAAGCGTGGGTTGTAAATGTTGCAGCGAAAAGGAGGCTGGAGGCAGTGGATGCAGAGAATTCGTAGTGTGGAAATTAGGTGTGAAGTTACTATAAGTATTATTCAGAGTGCTGAGGGTTGGTTGTTGAGGTGGTTTGGTCATTTAAAGAGGATGGAGCAAAATAGGATGACTTAGAGTGTGTAAAAGTCTGTAGTGGAGGAAAGGAGGGGAAGGGGTTGTTCTAGGAAACGATGCAAGGGGGGGGGTAGAAGAGGATTTTTGAGCAAGGGGCTTGGACATACAGCAGACATATGTGAGTGTGTTAGATAAGAGTGAGTGGAGACAAATGGTTTTTTTGGGACTTGACAAGCTGTTGGAGTGTGAGCAGAGTAATATTTTGTTAAGGGATTAAGGGGAAACCAGTTAGCCAGACCTGAATCCTGGAGGTGGGAAGTACAATGCCTGCACTTTAAAGAAGGGGTTTGAGATATTTGCTGCAAAGACAGTGATGGTGTGAATGATGGTAAAAATGTTGCTTTTTTTTATCACCCTGCCTCAGTGGGAGACTGCCAGCCTGTTAAAAAAAAACTAATTCCTTTATTTACCTTCCTTAGCAAAGAATCTACAAAATTTCACCAGGACATTATGTATGAATTCAAAGTTAATACATTTAATTTTATTAACTATTCAACCATACTTTACAATCATTTCAAGTACCTTGGTAAGAGACTGTTGGAGAAGTATGTTGACATCAGGTAGTGTAGCAATAGGACAGCACTGACGCAAGGTGTTGAATGCTGTTACCAACCCATTCATGTAATGTGCCAAGGGTGGAAATTCCATCAGTGTGAGAGGAGGCCTTGTCTTATCCTGATGGAACACAGCATTTCAATAATCAAATACATTCAAATTCAAATTCAAATTCAAAATTTATTCTCTATAAGGATTACAATGCTGAGTTTACAGAATTTGGTTATTGTGTGGTTTACATGTAGTAAAATAATAATTACAGAGTGTACCACTAGAACACCTAGCATGGCTAGGCATTTCGGGCAGACTTAAATTAAATACATGCATGTCAATACATTACTTTTTTTTTTTTAAACATGCCAGTAATATTCCATCAAAAGAGAGTAGCCTAAAAAAATGAAAGCACATTCACTATCAATCATCCAGAGCTCAAGTCTGACTGTTTTCCCAGAATCCTTACACACTCCAACAGCATGCCAAATTCCAAAACTCGGTTGTCTCCACTCTGATCTAATATGCCTGTACAAGCCTTCTGGATGCTTAAGCATCTACTTCTTAAAACAACCTTCACACCCTCCTTCCACCTATTCCTAGAGTGTTCCTTACGTCTCCCATCCATCTCAGAGTTGTGCACCCTCTTTATCATGCTATCTTGGTATATCCTTCCTAATAACCTAACCACTTCAACAACAACAAGAACGTTCGCTTTCTGAATTACAACTCTCATACCACAATATTGTTTTCTAATATCTTTACTTATTCTCTGCATAATATCCACACCACACACCTTCATACATGTGTCCGTTATTAATTTTACTCTCAAAGAAAGAGAATTTTTTAAATATAGATAAAGTAAACCCCCTTTATCCTGTAACAATAAAAATCAAGACAAACAATGCTTCAACTCCATAACTATACCTACTCTGAAAACAATACTTAACTCCTTCACTATCAGAAATCCCAAAATTCAAGGTACTGACAATGTGAGCATTTAAAAAAAAAATCCTCTGACATGGCAAAGAATCTTTAAGACTATGATACCAAAAATACAAAGTTGATGGAAACCTTAGGGAATTATGCAGATGCAAAGTTAGCAGTCTGGGTGCAATTTATACTTTGGTGATTTCCTATTTTAAGCCAAGTTCATTCTCCAATTTGACCAAATTCTTAGCTATTTCACTAATATGCTTTCTAGAAGAAGCAGACATAGTAACAACCCGTAAAACAAACTTGGGGGGACAGGGGTATAGGGGATGCCCTACTCATCTTCAGGAAAATTATAAAAAATCAAACATTTCTGCTAATTTGAGCCTAATTTCAAGTTACTCCTGGTCCTGACACCAACCAAATCATCTCTATTTCAGTAATATGTTTTTCATTCTATCAAATGATACTAAGAAACAACTTATAAAACCATAAAAACCATTCTAGAAAGACCTCAAAGTGTCACCAAATTAACTCGTAAATGGTCCAAACGTATATATGTTTTTTCAACATTTGAAAGTATGTAAAAAAAGTAGATCTTTTTTTTTACATTGGAAAATGTGTAAGAAAACTTTGATCTACTTTTTTTTTTGTTATATTTGAAAATATGTAAAAAAAACGTAGATCTACTTTTGGAGCACTACGCATGTGAACGTAGATCTGCTTGGACCGTTTACGGGTTAAACCAAACACAAGGTCAGAGGTTTGCTTTTCTCATCATGCACTGTGTGGGGGCAGAATTTTCTTTTATATTGTGTACACTCACCGAACTCTCATTCACTCAAGTCTAGGACAAACTTTACAGCTCACAGAATATCTAGGGATGCTGAGCTCAAAATGTAGATCTATGTAAATGACAGTGGTATAAATAACAAGATCAAAGTATGAAAGTGAAAGGGTTAGTAAAATATTTTGAAATGTTAACCCTTTCACTGTTGGTCCCTAACTTTGGTTTTAAAGCCTGTCAGCCCCTTAAAACTATGCCAAAATTCTAGCGTTTCCAAATTTGGGGAGAAAGCGGGTTTGGGCCTACATAGAGAAAAGGGGTTTTCTGAGTGGTAAAGGCACGTATAAAAAGAATCCTGCTTCAACAGGAAATGAGAAAAAAACTGCAACATATTTTTGGTTTTAAAAAAAAACAACGTTGTGGTGTATTTTTGCATGGTATTTTGGTTTTTTATGGTTTTCTTGGCTCATTTGATAGAAGGGGAAGATATATTACGGAACAAGATGTTTTTAAAAAATGATTTAAGAATAAAAGTAGTTAAAAATGAGCTAAAATTTAGCGGAAATTTTCTTTTTTTGACAGTTTCAAGAGAAAAACATATCACGTCTGGTCCTAATACGTAATAGTGGGTTAATATGATTCATAAATTCAATGATATTTTTTATACCATTTTTACAAAAATGCAGTACGGTTCCCTCAACATTCGCAAGGGTTGGATTTTAAGAGCCCCGTGAATGTTAAAAATCGCGGGAAAGTTTTTGGGGCCCCCTAATTGTAGGGAAATATAATACAATATGCTTCCTTAAATTTTTGAAACCCTGAACAATCATAAATACCAGAAAGTCGTAAATTTACTAAATACATACATGTTATGGTTTTAAAAACATGTATGTTATTTAAAAACCATGCCTCCACCACTTCCTCCACCCCGTCCCACCCAATGCCTCCACCAAGCCTCCCCCACTCCCCAAAACCCCTCGAGTCCCACTACCCCCCCTCCGACCCCCCCAACTGGCGCCAGCCCTCCCACCAGTGTGGTGAGTGTTTTGTTTGTTCATTATTTGCTATTAAAACTACAGTTTATAAATAATGAAAAACCCTTTCATGACTGCATATTGGAATGGCTATTTGGACAGGTATTGGACGGTGACATCATGTGTTGACTCTTGAACAGAGCAAAGAATCAAACATTTCTGCTACTGCTAATAATCCCAAATGGGTAATAATAATAATAATAATAATAATAATAAAAATAATAAAAATAATAATAATAATAAATACGATAGAATTGAAGAAGGGAAATTGTACAAAAATACGAGGGAGTGGTTGACACATCGTCAGTGTGGCTTTGTTTATGCTGGAGTGAGCCTTAGTCTCTGTGCTCTTCCAAACATTTCACAATAATTCATTGTGTTGGATGCTTGTAGACTGAGTGTGACTGGAGTGGTAGAGGCAGTGGTTGAGGAAGTGGTTGAGGCAGCAGTTGAGGCAGCAGTTGAGGCAGCAGTTGAGGCAGTGGGGGAGGCAGTGGGTGAGGAGCGGTTGAGGCAAGGTAGAGGCAGCGGTTTAGGCAGCGGTTGAGGTGATGGTAGAGGCAGCAGTTGAGGCAGTGGTATTTAATAACATATATGTTATAAATAATAATAGTACATATTAATAACGTATTATTATTACTGTATTATTATTATTATTATTAACATGTATGTTATTAAATACCACTGCCTCAACTGCTGCCTCACCCACTGCCTCAACCGCTGCCTCACCCACTGCCTCACCCACTGCCTCAACCACTGCCTCGACTGCTGCCTCAACCTCTGCCTCTACCATTGCCTCAACCGCTGCCTCAACCACTGCTTTGCCCACTGCCTCAACGGCTTCCTCAACCACTGCCTCTACCACTCCAGTCGCACTCAGTCTACAAGCACCAAATACTACAGTGAATTATTGTGAAATGTTTGGAAGAGCACGGAGACTAATGCTCACTCCAGCATAAACAAAGCCACACTGACGATGTGTCAACCACTCCCTCATATTTTTGTACAATTTCTTTCTTCAATTCTTTCGTATTTATTATTATTATTATCATTATTATTATTATTATTATTTTTATTATTATTGCTATTGTTATTATTAGCAGTAGCAGAAATGTTTGATTCTTTGCTGTGCTCAAGAGTAAACACATGATGTCACCGTCCAATACCTGTCCGAACAGCCATTCCAATATGCAGTCATGAATGGGTTTACATTATTTATATTGTAGTTTAATAGCAAATAATGAACAAACAAAACACTCACCACACTGGTGGGAGGGCTGGCTGCTAGTTGCGGGGGTCAGAGGGAAGGTAGTAGGGACTTGCAAGGTGGCGGGAAACTTAAATATGATTTGGCGGCTGGGAATTTGGAGGCTGGGAATTTGGCGGTTTGGAATTTGCGAATGTGCGAAGCCCGCGAAAGCTGAAACTCCGAATGTTGAGGGAGACCTGTAGTCTACATAACAGTAAATCTTCTATTTCTTGAGTGAATAAAAATTCAAAATGGAAAACAAGCGTAATATAAGAGGGACCTGGAGATGTGACTAATGAACATAGAAAATGTTATTTTAGTGCTAGGAATGTTTGCATTGCTTATTCTTGATCTTATTCTGAAATTTGCCTTTCTTGAATTTTGTATGAAATTGGCCAAATTACCAATTTCTGATCACTTTATTGGGTAGATGAAATAGGTAAATAGGCAGTTTCTTGTACTCAGTCGACAGAACAAAATAAATGCTATTGAAATAGCTATGAAGAGAGTCAACTGGAACAATGGAATTTGCCCAAAATAGGGCTCAAAATGGGTGAAATTGCCAATGTGCAAATATCACTGAGACAGCAAACTTTGTGAGAGTGTAATTCTATAAGTTTTCCATCAAATTTTGTGTTTTTGGTTTCATTACCTTAGGAAAAAGATTCTCTATTATTTCATAAGAATTTTTTTAAATTCTTCGACACTGAGAGCAAGTTTGCAAGCAGGGATCGCGACAGTGAAAGGGTTAATGAGGTTCTATAGTTTTCATGATTTTAATCTAATAAATATGATCATACAATGCCTGCACTTTAACTCTTTGAGGGTCCAGACCCCCAATCTGAAAGTTTCCCACATGGTCCAAGAATTTAAAAAAAAAAAAAAAAAATTTTTCTTATGAAATGGTAGAGAACCTTTTTCTGAAGCTAATAAATCAAAAAGTATGAAATTTGATCAAATATTGACAAAATTATGCTCTTGCGAATTTTGCTGTGTCAGCAATATTTACACATTGGTGATTTTGCCCACTTTGAGCCCCATTTTGGGCCAATTACACTGTTTCATTAGACCAAATTCTTAGCTATTTTGCTAGTACAGTGGACCCTCAGTTAACAATATTAATCCA